TCGACTCTCTCAGAGTAGCAAGCACTCGACATGCTTGCTCTCTCTCTTCTTCATTTCGAAAGATTAAAACAGGATCATCTTTCAATGTCTCACGGATAACCTACGACCAGATTTAGTTACCATGATGGGTATTGGTTTTCGAGAACATTATCATACATTATTCGAGCGCTGTGTCTGATCAGAGGAATCTTGCTCGTCCGGGCCGGCACAACACCAAAACGAAGAAGCTACAGACTTTCGATCCAAGGAAACTGTGATGGCTCTCTCCCTTTTGTGCAAGGTTTTCTTCACACCCACTGGTTCACCACCGGTTCCGGAAGGCGGAGCTGGAAGTGCTATGGAAGCGATCAGGAAAGGAAGCCAGCAATTTGCCATGACACTCACGTTTGCTATTATCGGCAAAAACGACTTTAAGGTGCCTTTTGAAGGCTCCTGAAGACGTGTTGTGCGACTTTCGAATGGCACTTGGGGGTGGCTGGGCTTCTTGCTGGGTGACCTTAGCGTTGCCTCTCTGTGTATTCACACCCTCTCGACTAGCTTTTCGAGCTCTGACCTGCTCTTCTATGATATGTGTGGGTGTGAGAGCCTGGGGACGAGAGATGGAACGCTTTATGGCTTCGATATCCCGGACGGGCGGTGACTGCGGTTTTTCTTTGCTAATACTGAAGACTCTCTTTAAAGATGACATGCTTTGAAAGATTCCTTGAGCTATTCGATTGGCGCCGCTGCTTCTTGAAGAGGGTTTGGTCGCTGGCTGGGCTCAGAAGGGATACGGCGGAGTCTGAGTGGTAAAGAAAACCATCGACCAAACCTCCCTTTATACTTACTTTATTTCAATTTCCGTGGCTAATTGAACCACTGGCTTGTCGCATAGGCTCACAGTGGGGAGGAAGCCCAGAATGGTTCCTTTGTGCAAGGCTTATTTCGTTTGTGTATTCCTGCCGAGTTGCAGACCGGTGATGCTGCTAGTAGTGATTATGGGTCTTTGATTGCGATCAAATGTTGTACAAGAATAAAGTCTATATGTAACCTGGTATTATATGAATTTCGCGCTTTCCTGTGAGACAGTCACCTTTGGTCCAACTCAATGGGGAAGCACATCTTTGACCTGACGTCAACACCCTCGCGTTGAGATATAAACCTTCCCATTTCTATCCTCGGTCAATACGAGCTATTGGAAGCCCTCGATTCTCCTATAAAAGCCCAGCTTTCCTGTCACGATGACGGCCGTTCTTGGTAGTGCAGCAACGACAATCTTCAATTTCCTGCAATCTGCATATGAATACCTGACGTATGTGTTCCCAGCTCTCTCTTTCACGTCTATTGGCTCACTATTGATACAGCCATGGAGAGGTCGCAGTCTCGGAGCATTACTCTGTACTCCGCCACACGCGTCCATTCGTTTTCTATCGCTCCACAAAGACCACAGTTCCGATCTCCATATTCGGAACAAAGCCATTACCTAAGAAGCGTCGTGTCTTTCTACAAAAGCGAGGGTTTAGGACCGGTCTCTTGTAAGTCCCGTCGAGTTTATTGTCATGCGCCTAAATCTCGTCGCTCATTTAGTGGATGGACGATTGGCTCAATGCTGGGAGGGTCAAAACTACCAGGACTAGAAGTGACGCCGGCATCAACTCAGTCGTATTCCTCAATACCTTCTGGGATGCTCAAGTCCTTTGAGAAGGATATCGAACGTGTTTGGCGACCATATAACCTTGCTAATCATACCCTCTTGGAGACGATGCAAGTTCATATCCCTGTCGCATCTGGTGATGGTTATTTCAGACTCCGAGTCACCCCTCACGACAAACCAAAAGAAACGGTACGTCTTGGCCTGGATTCCCAAGTCGCGCGTTTAAACCTATTTGTAGCTCGCAGTGAGCCCTGTGTTTCGTGTGGGGAGCGTCACTTGGTCAAGTGCCTCACCACAAGGGGCCACGATTGTTGGGATCGTCCCCGAACTTGTGGTCAGAAGTGCTTTTGTGATTGCCAATGCCGGGAGTAAGTGATACTCGACGCTATGTTTCCCGTCTAATCCTTGGATCAGTGTGGGCTGGGTTCTACGCTATGTTCCCTATCTTCAATGTAAGCAGCATATTGATAGCGACGAAAGAAAACTAACGGCTTTGTAGCTCGCTCATTACACTCCCGGGCCTGTAAAGACATTTGTGGCTAAAAACGTGTACCAATACGTGGGTGGACCGGACCCCAAGGCCATTGACGAGCAATACAAGGTTACCGAACGGATGAAAGCAGCACAGGAGAATTTCAACCGCAAAATCCCTTACGGAGCGGCATCTATCCGTACAATTTACGATTTGGAAAAGGATGAAGAGCTTGGCAGGCAGGGAGTAGCATATACAAAGTAATTCTCCGTTGGTTCCAAGCTAGAGAGTTGATGCTGGTTCTGTACGTCGATACATGAATGACCGATCAGGCCTTTGCGTATTTTATGGCTCCCGTTTATTCGACGAGTTAGGCTAGCATACATGAGCTGACTCGGTTCACAACTACTTTAGGACAATGCAGGGGTATTCTCGGCAAAGTACTCGTGGCTGTCAGCGTTCATGATGGCTTGCGAGGGGTTGGACTTGGCGAGAGCCTTAGCATTGGTCTGGCCGTAGACATAGTCATCAGCTATTCCAAATGTCAGTCATTTGATGCCATCAGGGGTGCAATTCAACGTACTGCCACCGTTTGCGGTAAAGTGACTCGACTCGTGGACGATCGCTAGAGACTCGTGAGGATAAAGTCGATCAAGCGAGATGGTCACTTACTGCCGGCCTTTGAATCTGTGCCAGTGGTGGAGGCAGTCCAGAAGGCGTTGCAAAGGTATACATATCCAAAGTTGCTTGGGTATACGTATGCTATATTCTTGGTGAGACATTGGAACTATCAATGACCTGGAATGCATACCATAGTAGTCGTCAGTGCAGCTGCAGTCATAAGTGTACGTCTTCGGGTCCGACGTCTTGATTTTCGTGTAGTGGCTCAGGACGGTGCTCTTCCTTGAGCTGCTATAAGTTCCTGTTCGGTTGTCAGGAGTGATCGTCTAGCACAGGCAGACACTACGTACCGAACCATGTGGTGTACCTAGTCGTGCCCGAGGTGAGAGAGGTGAGATAGGTCACTGCATTGGCAACATAGGTGGTCGTTGTAGTGAGAGCAGTGTTGATCTGAGAAGACCGGGTGCTAGAGCAGGACACGAAAGAGGCGCGCTTGGCGAGACTCATTGACCGCCTTGCCACAGTCGAGGAGACAAGATTGCCCGAGAGTTTGGCACTGTGAATGCTGGCAATATCGGCACGGATAGCAACGGGCTGTCCGTTTTCATCCTGGTAATGGAAGAGGTTGGCTGCATCAACCTCGTAGTCGCCGACCCTTGTAAAGTTGTAGGCGGCGGAAACTGAATAAACGTAAGAAATAGAAAGATGTATAGGTGTATGCTAAAGACGTACGTTCATGGACGATGTCAACGCTAGCGCCTGGGGCGAGTTCGACAAACTTGGTGGCGGTCTTGTATGTATACTTGACATGGGCGCCAACGAAGCCAGCAACGGCACCTTCACGGGAAGAGATGGAAAAGGTGTTTTCCTGTTTCAGATGTAAGAAGAAGCGACAGGATTGCAAAGCCAACACATACAGGGAAGGAAGACAAGGCGGTACGAGGGTCCTTGTAGAGCTTTAGGGCCTCGTCACCGGTGTTTGTAAAGGTGGCTACCACTTGAAAGTTGTCAACATCGACGACAGCGTCGGCGCCTGGAAGAAGGTCAGCGCATGCACTCTTGGCCTTCCACTACCAACCTTTCACGGCGAGACTGAGCGATTTGGTGGCCTGAGCGCCATTGACGGCAAGGAGAAGGAGAGATGCGATTGCAGCAAGCATGCTAGAGAGGGGTGTCGTAAACGGGAGTGATGCTACTCGGGGAAAGGGACAGGAGTGTCGACCAAAGAGGGAGCGATGCCTGAACGGGAACCATTTACTGCGGCCTTTTATACCACGGAGAGCTTTATTATCTAACGCACCGAAACGAGAGTTACGATTGCCAAGCCGGTCAGATGGCTGCGGGAGAGATAGCGGTAACGACGGTTCCTGCTCCCTTTGACATACAAACTATGGTGGCTGCTATGTACGCCATGTGGCGAATGGGCCGTACGAGTGAATGTGATAGCCGCCGCGCGGCCGTACAACGGAGAAGTCGAGCAACCATACGGCCGTTGGGTACGGCCATGTGGGCCTACGCAACCGGGAGCAGAGTTTTGCCAAAGTTGCGTAATCATAACAGTAGTGGAATATACGGCGAATTGGGCAGAAGCGTACGCTTAAATGAGGTACCGAAGCCGTGGCCATGGTGGAGCTTGCGGGTCGTGCGTGGTTCCATCAGAAATCAGATACTAGGAAGATACTGTGACCGCGCGAGACACTATCGATATGCCAGGGGGCCAGTCGCGCGGATATAGCGCGCGCATGGGAACCGTTTGGCGAGACATACGGTGGATTTCCTCTTCTCTTTCGAAGTAGTCTTTTTTTAGAGGAGCAGATATGCTTCGCTACTGCATACTGTATAAGAGAAGTGTGTGACGAGGCGCTAGAAGGGAGCTGGACCACCTGTTTCCACTATCGCGTATCAGCGTAATATGGTGCCATATACGTAATGAGGTTCGATTTGTAAAGCATTTTGTATGGGTAAACTAAAGGAGTCTTCTGATAAGGGTGAATAGGTGGATTACGCGCGCGTGGCTAGAGGCTTGAAGACAGGAGATTAGGAATGTCCCAGAGGAGGCAACGGTAAGTAAGAAATGTCTTAGAGGAGGTAAGGGATGCCCCAGAGTCTCGCCGATCAAAAATGAAAACAGTTTGCAGGGATCGAACCCAGAACCTCCCGCGGTGACATGCTGATCTCTACTCCACTGGGACTGGGGTTTCCCATGCGGGTGCGTTCTTTTCCAAAACAAAACCTATAGCTGGTTTGCTATTCACCCCCAAGTCCACCAAAACTTGACCCAGTAGGGACTCGAACCCTAAACCTCCCGCTAGCAAACCCTATACCACAAATAGGAGGCGGACACGCTACCATTGCGCCACAAGGCCCTCACAACTCTTCAAGACATCTCAGATTATATGTGGCATCCCCCAGATTTTCCCAGATTTTCCCCAAAAATTTCGAGCGGCGACCAGCCAGCCAGTCCACGGCTCCCACGCACCATTGCGCCACAAGGCCCTCACGACTCTTCAAGACATCTCAGATTATATGTGGCATCCCCCAGATTTTCCCAGATTTTCCCCAAATTTTTCGAGCCGCTTTCAGCGGCTCTCCTGTGACCCTGCGGGTCACCCCGACCTTGACCCACACCTGCCCCTCTAAAGTAATCTCAATCGAGATTATACCAATTCAGGTACACGGGCGGGTTGCTGAATAGGGAGTAGTAGCTTCAATTCATGTCTGCTACCATACTCGCGTTCGATTCATGTAGCCAGTCTATAGTCTCCAGCTTTATTTTCTATTTATTGTTCATTAATGCCTCTCTGGGTGTCGCCGCGCCAACTCTCGCGCTCCTCTCGCGGGACTTGAAACGTCCATACAAGTTTCGACCGCCAAAAGTAAGGTTTCTCCAAGCAGAGACCGCTCGCAGCGCGGCCCCAAGGCTCGCAAATGGCATTAAATACTTGAGCACCGGAATCAACTCTTCGAGTACCATTTATACGCATTCGCTCTCAAAAAGCGCCCGCAGATGCTCTGACGTTTGGCATGTACCCTGGCGACATCGGTGGCTCGAGGCTTTGCACATCTTGGACGTTAGTACCGGTCGCGATTAACTATGAACCAGGTCCCGGGAAAGTCACAGACGCACATGGCATTGGCACTGCGCTAGGATCGGGTGTCCCGACGCATGGCCAAGAAAGTTAGCTGCGCGGTATTATAGTGGTCCTGGAATCCTCTGACATTGTTTTCAGGCTCCTCAAATAACGCAATCTACACTTTCTCACCCCGACAACCCCAGTCCTAAACCTCCAAAGCAGCATTGGCTCCGCCACAGAAGCGATTCGTACATGTTCCCTCACATGTTCTCCAAAACCTGCGGCTGAAACCTCGGCTGCTACTTCTTTCTCGCCAAAGGAGACGGAGATGTAGGACCCGGTCCAAGCAAGCCGGGCGTTTACCCAATGTGGAATGTCGTCTTGAGACCCGATTTAGCGTTCAAGTATACCAGAGCCATCAGCAATTGAATAGTATAACATGACGAATCTATTGCACACAAAGCGATGGCCATGGCAGGTGGATTGCAGGCTCCTCATACCGTCCTTGGACCACCACACAAATGGCCCAGGTCTCCTGTTGGGACAATTTATCGAGCCTTTGTGACTATAAAAATGGATTAATCGATGTACCGGGGAGCCGACGCCACCAGGGCTGCTCCCTTCAACACGGGATCCCGAGCCACGAGGTAAGTATCGGATGCACTGGGATATTATTGCAAAGCTAAACTATTTCAGGTATTCCTACTCACGACGTTTGTCTGGTCTCGCGAAACTTAAACCGCTCGCAACACCTCAGAGTAGCCCGATACCAACACTTGGTCGCTCGTAACACCCCTGGCCAAGCAATTACATACTACGCAGATGAAGAATGAGTGGAGAAATCTCGAATACTAAAGTACAAGGGGCAACAAATGGGGCCATTGTCATCTACACAGGGCAAGCTTCCCATGGCGCCTCTTCCCCCACCTCTGCCTTGGTCCCTTTACCGCGTTCGCAACTTCTCTAATTGCCATCTTGCAACTCCCTTATTCCTTTCAATTGCATTCAATTCTGTTCTGGAACATGACAACCCTTCTACTACCCGCATGCTAGTCGACATCGGTATTCAGAGCCGTGGTGCAGTGTAAAGTGTAGATAGAGCCGTGAATAGTCTAAATTTGTGGTTGTTAGATTGTACATCCTGTCAACTCCTCACCCCTTCTCGACTTGTCGTCGCCCACTCCTTTGATTCTCTCAAAGCACCGGCTACGGCCCAGAAAACTAGCTTATTTCTACTATAGTGGAGATATCTACTTGAAAAAAAGTCGCAGAAACTTGGAGTGCTGCTCACCACTCGTCCTCGCCATCTGCCACAGGGTTCCGCAGCCCCGTCAGGCTTGGTGAGCAGCTTTTCAGGACTCTGGTTCATGCTTATTTACCAAAAGTTCACTCCAGAGTCCCAGGCGGAACACAGATCCTCCATTACAAAGTCGGTCCATTGCGTCTCGCTTCGGTACGTTACAACAGTTCAGGGCAAAACCAATGCTAACAAAGTTAAAGCTGCCTCGTAGAATGGGATCCTCCCCAAACCAGAACCTTGACGAGCTCCTTGCTCAGCACCTTTCCGTCGAGAAAGTACTCTTGAATGCAGCCCCCGAATCCATCTCCACAAGTGATGCTATTTCGTTTCATCTCAATTCTGGTTACTTGGAACAACTTCGAATGACCGAAGGAGTTCGAGGACACCTGCTGAATCAAAGCGTTTCTCCACTGGAACGCATACAAGCGGCAGCGATCTTTGCAAGCAAAAGCCAAGAATGCACGTCACTCCCTCTAGATTCGACGATATGGTCTCGCTTTGTCCCAATACAAGATCTGTTCCTCGAAGCTGCCCTTGCCCCGGAATCTTTTCTAAAAAATCTCCCCACATACGCCAAAAGCGGCCTTGTTTCGATTTCTTCCGAAAAGAACCAGCAAGATGACGGTCTGTTCCAATATTATTATACAAGGATTCTCGACATCGAGCCAGAAGAGTATGCTCGTCGCCTCGAGCTATTCGGAAAGGCTTTCCC